TACTAAATTACCCATAGCTTTTAGATTTAATCCTAATCCAGGCAGCTTTACCAACTCTTAGACTGCTTTCTTCCACTATGTGTGATTAAGTGTTCATGTAAGAATTTTTAAAAAAATTAATAAAGCTTCAATAAAACATGGGAGGCAGATAGAGAAGCTGGTCTCATTGCCAGGAAGACCTGGGTTCAAGTTCTGCCTGTGACACATATTGGCTGTGTGCCCCTTGACCACTCACTTAACCCGCAGCCCCCAGGCAGCATTAATATTAAAAGTTGGAGAGAAAGGACAGCCTTCATCACTAGTGGGAATTTTTATTCATTGGGCATTTCCTGGGACAATGAAATCACAGGTCCGTTTCCCTGCCCTACTCCCTTCTTCCCTCCCAAAAAAGTAAAACAAATCAGAAGGTCAGTTGGTCTGCTAAAATCGTTGTCTTCTTAAATGATGTTTCAATTAAACCATTTTAATTTATTTGTGCTACATCCTCTTTCCTACCCTCAGAGAGAATTGGCCATATGAGACGTTTCCTAGTAAATATTCTTTTTCTTATCACTTAAGATTTCAGGAGATGCATACTAAGTGTTCCCCACCAAACATGTTGGGGAAATGTTAGATGGTGATTTTACTTTGTAAGTAGAGCAGTTAAAACCCTTCACGCACCAGGCCTAGCAAGACTCAGTCAGCCGGCATTTGAGACGGGCCTACTATGTGTCAGGCACTCTGCAGGGCTCTGGGGTTAGAAAGACCAGTCTCTGACCTCCAGGACCTCGCGCGCTGTGAGGGAGACAGAAACACAGATGCGCGTGTATGTAAAAATACATCAGCTACAAGATAATTGGGACAGGGAGTGGGGGAAGGCACCAGCAAGTGCAGGAATTAGCGCAATTCTCACATGGAAGGTGAAGTCTGAGTTACGTGTTGCAGAAAACCAGGGCTTCCAGGAGGCAGAGGTAAAGAAGGGGCAGATGGCAAGGGGGTCCAACCTGGGTCCTCTCATGGAGATGGGCTGCAGTGTGTGAGGAAGCCCAGTTTGGGCTCTAGAGAGCGTGAAGGGCAGTAATTTGGATAAGCATGGGAAAAGGGTAGGTTGGAGCCAGGCTGTGAAGGGATCTCAGTGCCAGACTTTGTATTTGACCCTGAACACAGTTGGAAGCCTTTGGAGTTTATCGAGTGAAGAGAGTGACATGTTCAGACTTGGGCTTTGGAAAAATCGCTCTGGCAGCTGGGCGTGGAGGTTGTATTGGCAAGGGGAGAGCGTGGGCGAGGAGCAAGCGATGGCATTAGATTAGGCAAGAGGAGGTGAGGGTCAGAACCAGGGCGGTGGCTGCGTGAGCAGAAAGAGAAGAGGATGGTGGTGAGTGTTGTAGGAGCCCAGAAGGCCCTCAGGAGGGCTTTGGGTGTGGGATCCGGCTGGAGGAGGGGTTAGGTTTGATTCCACAGTTAGGAACCCTGGGGACTGGAAAGATGTTAGATCCCTCAGCAGAAAAGAGGAAGCTTGGGAGAGGGGTGGAACTCGCCGTGTTGGAAGTCCTTGCAGGATAGCCCTGTCCAGGCATGTGAGGGTGCATCTGGAGAACAGGAGACCAGAGACGGACGTATAGATTGAGGCGTCATCCAGATAGAGACGGATGTGAGATCCATCTATTTCGTGGAGAGCAGTTTCATTTGAGTGGTGAGGTCAGGGGCCAGATTGTCAAGGGTCGACAAGTTAGTTCAAAGGAAGTGAAATAGAGGCAGCAAGAATCGAAGCGTTTCTAAGGAGCTGGACTGCGAAAGGGATGAATGATAGTAACACCAGCCATTAGGATAGCTAACATTTAGAGAGTGTGGTATAGTTTGCAAAGCTCTTTTTACAAATATTATCTCATCTTAGCCTTACAACAACCCGGGGAAGTAGGTGCTATTATTATCCCATTTTACAGATGGCTTTCATGTTTTATGTGTTATCTCAGTTCATCCTTACAGCCTGTGAACGTAGAAAGATGGGGGACGCTAGCTTGAGGGAATGGATGGATGGCACGGGTCAAGGAAGTGAGAGTGTGCCTCTGTCAAACTGAGAACTTAGCTTAAAAAGGCCAACGTCTGCCACCGCATCGAGGCCGTCGCCAGTCGTCCTGATCTGTATCTTGCCACTGGGCCCAGATGGCTCCAGAGGAGAGAGTAGAGCTGGTGACTTTGCACAGCCCTGCCTCTCTTAAGTCCAATTCACTTGCAAGTCGTGGCATTACCTCCTGATATCATTGGTCCTCTTTGAGAGCTAAGGGCAAACAACACCTTCCCCACAAGATGAAGGTGGCTTGAACCAGGAGCCCAGGAGAAAATAAAGAGTAGAAGGATGAAGGGTATGGCTGGGAGAGATGGGGGTGGGGGACCCCACCTCCAAGTAGAGGGCCTGGCCCCTTCTGCGCCAGATACTGTTGTAAAGATGAAGAGAAGGGGGGCTGACATGAGGAAGGGGAGAAGAGGCGGCTCAGAATGACTTGGCATCGTAACTTAATTATTTGCCAGGAGCGTACTTGTTAATTATTGCAACATCCTAAGGAGTGCCTGCATAGGAAAGTACTTTTTAAAAACTGTGCAGATAAGCAAACAGCATGATCATTGCTGCAGTAGCTAGGAGGAAAATTCTGCACAGTGAAATAAGTTTTCTTGATTGAGAGAGGAATAAATTCTACTCTTCTGAGTTGAAGTCTTGTGCTCTGCCTACTAAACCAGTGGTTCCGGGAGTGTGGCAGTCGCAAAAGCCTTAGTGGCCGTGTGTGATAGGTGCCCCCACCCTTGCTTGCCCTCTCAGTCTGAACTGTGCCTTTCCCCCAAATAGACACTTTCTGAAGTACTGTATTCTATACCATAGGACCCTCTCACACCAGTTTTAATCTGAACTTAGAATTTATTTTATTTTCGTATTCTCTAGAATGCTTTGACCCCTGTCCTAAGAGCAGGACCTCCAGGTTAGTGAAGTATTGGGAGAGGCGCTAGGCCTGTGATTGATCTCCTTGGTCTGGGGAGCTCCTGCTGCTGAGGCAGATTAGTACCTTCCCTGTGACTTCCACTGAAGCCCTGAAAAGTTGAGTGACTTGTTACCTCCCTCTTCCAGCGCTGGTGGTTGAGCAAGACTCATATCATTGTTTGTTTAAGCAGTTTGTTAAAAAAATACACACACACACACACACACACACACACACACACACACACACGTACACACTTGTCTTTCCTTCTTCCATTACTTTCGTGTCCAAATATGTCCTTTCCCCAACCCCTTTAGCAAAAGAGTTTAAAAGAAAGAAAAAGCTTTTTCAGCAAAATGACCGCTGAGTAACAAGACAAGGCCTGCCCCATTCCTGGCCCAGGACCCCCAGCTTGACCAGTGTTGGAGGAGTTGCTTCCCTTTTTTTTAACCCTTTGTTTTCTATTTTTTATTCTAGAAACTTCCCCTTTGTTCTGGGAAAATCTATCAAAGCAGAATTCACAATGTTCACAAGGACAGTATGTGGCCTTTAAGAATTAACATGATCACTTACGCTGTGGTGGCTAGTTTCTTTTTCATCAGAGGTGGTGAAGAACCAGTAATCGGGGGTGATTAACTTATTTTTTATTTTGATAACCGGCTTTCACTCTTGACTGGCTTTCTCTGTAATGCCTCTGCATTTTATTTTATGCATTTATGCATATATACAGGGCATCTCAAAAGTCTTAGTGAGGCTTTAATCTTAGCACTTAAAACTGTACTAAGACTTTAGGAACATCCAGTATTGCATAGATAGATAGATGTAGAGACATATGTAGATATATATTTTATGCATTTATGCAGTATTCTGAGAAGAGGTCTGTAGATTCCCCAGATAGCCAGAGTGGTCCAGGGTACAAAAGAGCATAAGAACCGGTGGTACGGGGGCATCAGGGCCTGAAGTCAGGAAGACCCGAGTTCAAATGTCACTTACTACATGTGAGACCCTAGGCAAGTCAGTTAATCTCTGTTTGCCTCAGTTTCCTTAGCTATGAAATGGGGATAATAATAGCACCCACCCCCAAGGCTGTTTCGAAGATCAAGTGAGATAATTGGTGAGCTGTTAGCACACTGCCTGGCACACAGTACACTGTAAGCACTCTATTAATTTTAGCTATTAGATTATTTTGCATCTTGGGAGCAAATAAATAGCTTTCTTGTCTTTAGACCTGTTCTTTTGTGGCACTGAACACTTTATATGCCAAAGCAGTAATAAATGAAATGTCCTTCTCTAGCCTTATTTAAACTGGAAAGACTGTTCTTTGGTTAACAGAAGATTATGAATTAAGGAAGGGAAGAAAATCAGTATTCACTTAGAGCCTACCTACTCTATGCCAGCTACTATGCTAAGCACTTTTACAAATGTCTCATTTAATTATTAATATAAGACACTGTAAAGTAGACTGATGGATGAGAAAGCCTGTATTTTGCCTCTAAAACATGTTGTCTTTTCTTATCTATTGTTTTGTTTTGGTGGGATAAGAAGGCGGGAATGTGTGTTGGTTTTGGGGGGGCTTGGCCTGGGGTTTCCCATTTTCCAGTTCTGGGCCCGAGCACCAAAGCCATGTTGCCTGTATTTTTCCACCTCTCTGGTATCACTGAGAGTGATGATTCCAAAAATCAAGGTTGTGCTATCTTATGCTTCTAAATTAACAGGACGATATTAAACCAAACAAACATAGTAGTCTGTTCTGATTTTTCTCGTTAGGAGAAATGTGCAGCCTTTCTTTTATTAACCTGTGAATTAAAAACATGTAGCTGAGATGCAGAATATACAGCTGTACTAACCTTAATTGCTAGATCTGTGTGACTCCTTAAATTAAGCTTTCAGCCCTTTATAAGACACTTGGTGATTGGGGCATAGAATGAATTGTGAGTCCTGAGAATCTTTCTTCCAGTTTCAGTTTTTTTCTTTCTTTAAAGCAATTTTCTTTGGATCCCGGCTTGCATGACATTTTATCTTTCTTTTCCTTTCTTTTTGCCGTTTGCAAAGACTCTTGGGAGGATTTGACAGAGTTGGTGGAGCAAATACGTGGCGATCCAGAAGGTGCGTGCCGCAGCCAACATCTCTCCAGCTGTTGTTTTCCCTTTCTAGTGGAGGGCGTCCTGTGCTCACCTTGGTCGTTGCTTCCCAGTGGTAGTAGAGCTGTTGACACACGCCGCCGGCCTGATTGGGTCACAGGGTCCTCACCTAACCTGTCTGGTCTTCTCTTTGGGCCCCTGCTTCCAAGAGGGGCCTTGAGGCCTGTGGGAAGTATCTCTCTCTCTTTGAACGTTTGCCCAAATCCCATCCTAAAAGGGGGCTGTTTCCGGAACCTAAGATGAAACCACCTCCTTCCAATTTTTCTCTAGCCCTTTTCTCCTCGGACCATGATCACCTGTGTGACTTTAAGCAAGTCACTTTGTAAAACGAGGTTAGACCGACAATCTCTGGAGATCCTTCCTAGCCCTCCATCTGTGATCCTAATTGGCAAATCTGTTCATCACCCAAGTAAAAAACATATTTTTTATCAAGCAATTCAAGTAGATAATTATGTGCTGGGCCCGTAAATGGCGAGATAAGTAGTAACAGTACAGAGACAGAATGGAAGAAGGAAGGCCCTATCCTCCAGAAATGTAAATCCTGGCATTTGGGTGACATAGGAAAGGGAACTCAAAACACCTGAGAAATCTTGAAATTTAATTTCCGTCCAGACACTAAGAGGTACAGAGAAACGAGATACCTGGAGTTCAACTCCACCTCTGGCTTTGTTGCTCTGCCCTGGCAGCCTTTCCTCTAAAGATGCCCCAGCACAAATCCTCTGCTCCAATCAAGCTGGTCTTTCCACACGTGCAGTGTTCATGCCCATCATTTGTCTAGTTTGTGCTGTTTGCCCCATCCGGCATGCCTTCCCATCGCCCTTCCCCCATCCACATCCTGTCCATCTTTCAAGGCCCAGCCTAACTTCCATGTTCGCCATTAAACCATCTCTCCTATTCTAGGCCATGGGGATCTCTTCTTTTTGGAAGCCTTTTTGGATGAACAGTTAGGTGGCTTACTGGATACAGCACTGGGCTTGGAGTCAGTAAGACCTGAGTTCAAATTCTGATTCAGAAACACACTAGCTTTGTCGCCCCAGGCAAACCACTTAGTTATTCTCTGCCTCCGTTTCCTTATCTATGAAATGGTGATTGTTGGCCTCAAAGGGTTGTTATGAGGATCAAATGAAATAATGTAAGACACTGTAGTGTGGTACAGTAGATAAGAGTGCCGAGCCCGAATCAGGAAGACTCATCTTCCTAAGTTCAAATCCGGCCTCAGACATGTACTAGCTGTGTGACCCTGGGCAAGTCACATAACTCTGTTTGCCTCAGTTTCCTTATTTGTAAAATGAGCTGGAGAAGGAAATGGCAAACCACTTTAGTATCTTTACCAAGAAAACCCTAATAGGGGTCATGAAGAGTCAAACATGACTGAAACAACTGAACAAAAACAACAAATTATTGCTGTTATCACTACCTGACAACTGAGTATTTAATTACTTCCTAGTCTTATGTGTGTTAAACTTTGTCTCCTCCTCTAGATTGTCAGCTCCTTTAAGACAGCTACCATGTTGATGCTTCTCGGGCTGTCTAGAACTGCTTATCTGCTTGGTCACCAGTAGGAGGATTAGATCTAGAGCACACTTGACTGAACGTCCTGTTTAATCAAATATCTCAGCTGACCACAGGGCCTCCCATTCCATGTCTTCCTTCATGTCAGTAACTTTCTGTGTATCTTCTCTTGAGAGCTATTCTTTATGAAATGTTAAAGTGACCAGTTACTATGTTTCATAAAGGCAAAATAGGATAGATTGACTAATTTTTTTCTAAGCTTAATCTCTTGTTTTAATATAATAAAAAAGTGACCAAAATTGCTTTGATGGAAAAATTGTTTCGTTTTGTTTTTTTAAAAAAGGGGGGATTCTCTAAAAGCCCAAAGAATCCATTATTGGATATTTTTTACTTACTTTTCATCTACTAAGAAGGTCGTTGCATGTACAAATCACCAAAGTAGGTATGGTGTGTGATACAGTGGGAATAGTCCTGGATTTGAAAGTACTGGGTCCTCAATTCTGCCATTTCCTAGTTATATGATCTTGAGCAAGTAGTTTAGCTGCTTTGGACCTCAGTTTCCTTACCCTAAAAAAAAAGGGGAATGAACTAGATAACTTCACAGACTTTGAGAGTTAGAAAGGACACCAGTCAATGGCCATCTTAGTCCAGCCTATGCACAAGAGGAGTCCTGACAGTAACATAACCAGTACAGTGGCTTTCCAAGCCTCGGCTTGGAAAACTACAAGGAGGACAAACCCACCATCTCTCCTTATTAAAAATTCAATTCATTTTGATTCACCAGCATTTATTTCTTCTTCCTTCCCCTCCCAACTAAACAAAGGGAAAAATCCTCATACAAATATGCATAGTCAAGCAATACAGATTCATGCACGGTATGTCTTGTTCTGTATCTTGAGTCCCATCACCTGTCTTTTAGGGAGGGCAGGTAGCATGCTTTATTGTTAGGCTTCTAGAGTTCTGTGTTGTCATTGTATTGGTTAGAGTTCTTCTCAAGTCTTTCAAAGTTGTTTTTCTTTATAATGTATAAATTGTTCTGGTTCTGCTCGCTTTACTCTGCATCAGTTCATATAGCTCCTCCCAGTTTTCTCCAAAACCACCTGTTTCGTCATTTCTTATGGCACAGTAATGTTCCATTACACTTATGTACCTTAATTTGGGTAGTTGTTTCCCCAGGAGATTGGCACCTCTTTAGTTCTCAGTTTTCTTTTTTACCCATGGAACTCACCACCTCTTGAGGTAACCTGTTCTGTTTCCAGATAGCCTTAGCCTAAATGGCTCTCTTTTTTAATTTTTAATTTTTTTATTTTTAGGCAAACTGGGTTAAGTGACTTGCCTAGAGTCACACAGCTAGTAAGTATCAAGTATTTGGTCTGAGGCCAGATTTGAACTCAGGTCCTACTGCCTTCAGGGCCAGTGCTCTATCCACTGCACCACCTAGCTGCCCCTTAAATTGCTCTCTTTAAGACTTCATTGCTCCCAGTTGTCTCCCCTGTGGCCACACAGAATCTAATTTCCTTTCCACGCAAGAGCCCTTCAGATACTTGAAGACACTTGGCTCCCTCTTAACGTAGCCTAGGATTGCGTTGACATGTGTGACAGTCACATCTCACTGCTGACTCAGTGGAGTTTGCTGTTCATATTAAAATCCCCAAGTTATTTCCCAAAGAGCCGCCTGTCTAACCATAACTCCCTCATCTTGTACTGGCCAAATTAATTTTTTAACACGCAAATATAAATAGCCCTATTAAATATTATGTATTATATAGCCCTATTGAATTTCATCTTAGTGGATTCTGTCCAAGTTCCTAGACTATTGGGGTTCCTGACTCTGTCAGTAGACTAGCTAATCTTCCCACCCTTGTGTCCCCTCAACATTTCATGTGCTTAATATCCATGCCTTTTTCCAAGTCACGGATTAAAAATGAAAAGAATGCAAAGCAAAATACAGATACCTGGAGTATTCCACTGGAGACCTTCCATGTTAACAGCGACTTTTGAGATTGACTATCCAACCAGGTCGAAATCCATTTCATTGTATTATTGTCTAGCCCACGACTCTCCATCTTTTTCACAAGAATAATTTGAGGTGTTTTCAAATGCTTTGCAAAAATCTAGGCAAACTTTATCCACAAATTTACCCTTTTCTACTGATTTAGTGATCCTGTCAAAAAAAAAATGAGATTTGTTTAACAAAACCTGTTTCTTTTTTTAAATTAAATTTTATTTTCATGTCTGCATTCTCTCCTTTCCACTTCTTTCTCCTTCCCACCAATTGAGAAAGCAAGAAAAACAAAACCCCCCTGACGAACACATGTAGTTAAGCAAAACATGACCTGTGTGGCCTGTTCCTGATGAAGCCACGCAGCTTCAGTGAAACACTTGTCTTTTGTCTTTTGATAACTCTCCACACTTTTGTAACAAGTAAATAGTCAAGCAAGAGAAAATCACGTGTTATCTGTGTCTGACAAGTGTGTCTAACTCTGCCCCACCACTCTGTCACCTCTCTATCAGGAGAGGGGAAGCATGTTTCCTTGTCACTCTTCTGAAGTCACAACTGGCCATTGGATTGATCTGATTCTTTGAAAATTACTCTCCTTTGCATCCTTATATTTGTATAAATTGTTCTCTCATTTGTGCTCAGGTCACTCTGTATCAGTTCATAAAAGTCTTCCCAGGTTTCTTTGAATCTCTTTTCTTTTATCACTTTGCATGGCTTAATAATATAGCTGTATTCATTTACCACAATTTGTTTAATCTTTCACTAATCAATGGGCACCCATATTTTTTCCTGTTCTATATATAACAAAAAGTACTGCTGTGAATGTTTTATACCCATAGGTTCTTTATGTCTTCATTATCTTTGGGATATGGGCTTAGAAGTGGTATACAGCATACACACTTCAGTGACTTTTGGGGTATAGTTCCAAAGTGCTTTTGTAGAATGCTTGTTTCTCACTTCTAAGCTCCATCAACAGTATATTGAGGTACCTCTCATCCTGGAGTCCCTGCAACAAGTGTTGTTTTCTGTTTTTGTCATATTTACCAATCTGATGGGTATGAGGTTGAATCTCAGAATTGTTTTAATTTGCATTTCTTTTATTTTTAGTGATGTGAAGCATTTAAAAAATGGTTATGGATACTTTGCCCTTCTTTTGAGAATTGCCGTTTATACCCTTTGACCATTTATCTTTTGGGAAGCAGCTCTTGTTCTTATGTATTTGAATAAATTCCTGACATATCTTGGCTATCAAACCTTTATCAGAGAGTCTTCCTGGCAAGATTTTCCCCAATATTCCCCATTTCCCTTTTACTCTTAACTGTTGATTTTACTTGTGCAAAAGCTTTTCAGTTTTATGTATTCAGAGTTGTCTATTTTAGCTTTTATGATCTTCTCTATCATTTATTTGGTCAAGAACTCTCTTCTTTGTGAAAGATGTATTTGATATGACC